TAAATGAACAATTCATTCCTTTAAAATCACTAGTTTAAAATGCATTTGTTTAAAATCGGAATAATCTTTTGGAGGCTATCGAGTTCTTTAATAATTAAGTTTCCAGTTAGATATGCAAGACCACTTTTACAACTAACTTTTACAACCAGTGAACTCATTTCTCTGCTCAAACTGAACCAGCCCACAAGCAAATTACAGCAATCTGCTTTATTTCAACTGTGCAGATTACTTCCCCCATCTTACTGTGGCAATGGACCATTCCTCTTAGGGCCATTTCACGGAAAACCCGGCTTTGCCACTCAACATGAGTAAGACAGTTCTTTAACAAGCACACCTGTGTGACACATGAGTTCACTTCGCTCCATTCACAGTTTGCATTTTTAGAGATACACTTAATACCTCTTTGATGCATACTTTAAAAATGTAACATGTACATTGATCCTTAGGATGATTCCTGACCCACTATTAGGATAGATCAGCACCAAACATGCTGATTCAGAGCACACAGGCAACACAGGGAGTCTGCCAATCCCCATATGATCCCAGGTTAGTCCAAACAGGAGGTGGTGGGTTATAAATTTCAACACAAATTGCACAGATTAAATGAGGAATGCCCCTTGGAACACTGACTGCAAACCCTGTTTGTGGACTCCACACTGACATTTTTTTAGGGCCAAATTACATGTTCATGAGTTTTAGGGCCAAATTACGTGTTCATGAGTTTTCAGGGTTGATGGATGTTGGGTATTACAAGTTGAAAACACTCAGTATATCTGGGGTTAAATGTTTGTTTATGTTACTCACAGGAAGTGAGTAACCAATGTAATTTCTCATGTAACCAATGTTCTCTAGCTGTAGGATGCCCGGAAATTTTCTCCCTGATCCAGAAATTTGATTGGGACTAAAGTGTCAAGGTGTATTACCATTTTATGGCTTCTCTTCCCGTCTTTGTTTGGTGTTCTAAAAAAAAAATAGAGCAGCCATAATCTCTCTTCTAGTTTTGTCTTTGTAGAGTAAGGATGTAGCCGATTATGCTCTGTTGTTATTTTCATCCCAGTTACCCTTCCCATGCTAGAATTTAGTAAAAACTTTATATTTTAATCACACATGGACTCTCAGTCTGAATTATTTTACTCTGGCTCTGCTGGACTATCTTATCTCTGCTAAATACCATTTTTTCAATATCTCACTATCACCCAACAATGGAGAGCTGTGAGGTTAAAATAGGGGAGGGGGATGCATGTAAACTGCTGTAAGATCCTTGGAGAAAAGGTGGGGTACAAGTTGTGACAAAAGTATTACTTCCTCCATTCAAAGAGGTCCTGAGCAGTGTTCCCTCTAAGCTGAGTTAGTATGAGCTAGCTCACAGTTCTTTAGCCTCCGGCTCACACATTTTTGTCTTAGCTCAGGAAGGATGGCTCCAGAGCAAACTAATGTATGCAGCAGCCAAATCGCTCGCTCACCACTTTAATGCCAGCAGCTCACAAAATAGAACTTTTGCTCACAAGGCTCCACAGCTTAGAGGGAGCATTGGTCCTGAGACTGACTGACTTCCCCGGGATAACCCTGACAGCCCCAAGCCAAGCTGGAATTTGTCCCCCCCCCCATCACCTAACCGAGGTGTACACTGAGCTCCCTCTTGGTGAGGCCAATCGCCTTCGCCTTCCTCGGAGCATCCCCGTAAGAGAGACCGGCAGAGCAGTTGAGGCCGAGCTGTCGCACAACAGAGCACCAAGGGTAGGCAGCTCAGTTCCAACTTCTCTCTGAGATCGGCAGGAAGGGCTGCATCTGCCACTGACTCCCCCCCTCCCCTTCTCTGTTCAAATGCACTCAGCGGAGCCAAGTCAGCAAAGATGCACTGCGTTGCGGATCGGTGCCAAGTGCAGGCGGCGGCAGCGGCGGCATGCATTCCTTGCGCTGACACAGCAATGCACCTCTCGGGGGAGAGGCCCGCTGCCAGGAGCTGCACGGCACGACGCATCCGGCCGCCTCCCAGAACCCGAGATCGCCACGGGTCAGGGCGGCCCTACCAAGGGGCTTGTTCCTGTTTCCTGTTTGCCCAGCCGTAAAAAAAAAACACCTAATGGCACGGCCGCCTTGGCCATGATTTATGGTCAGAGGCATAAATTTCCTTCTCTTCCTCCGGAAACAGTGACATGGTGATAAACTGCCTCATAAAGGGAAACAACTCAACGCTTAAACATGATCAATAATAGAGTCGGGCGGAGAGGGGGGCGCCAAAAGGCCCCATGGGGCACGAGGAAACCCGCTCCGTGGGGAGTTGGGTGGGCAGATGCTGCCAGGCTGCGAGAGCTATGCGCTGTGCGCGCGGCTGTAGCAACCGGGAAGGCGGCAAGACGTGGGTGGGTGGGAGTGTTAAGACTCTGGCTCCGGAATGCCCTGTCGGCGAGCGAATACGCCGAGGAGTATTAATCAACTTGATGAGTCCCGATGAGTCTGCAGGTCTGGGGAGCGTGGAAGGGCCTCAAGTATTCTTGGCCGCTGCATTAATAATCCATAATCATAAATAATAATAAAAGGGGGGGGAGGTGTGATTCTCCCTTGGGACAGGAGCACACAAGGGGAGCTTGACAGGGATTTAGAAGGGCACCGAGGGATGGAAATCAAAACCTGGAGGACTGGAGGCACCTCAGAGGAGAGCCCTGTTTCCTGTCCAGCAGCAGGTGGAGGCTTGGAGCCAAGTCCCAGGACCTCCAGCCAGCCCTAGGGGAGGGCAGTTGTGACTCCTACCCATAACTGGAAGTGCAAGATTGGCGGGCTGTAACAGTGGCAGCTACTGCTCAGAGACATTAGGCCTGTACCTACACTTTTGATATTCACTTGGAAGTCGGAGCCAGTGTGGTGTAGTAGTTGTTGGACTACTATCTGGGAGACCCAGGTTCAGATCCCCACTCATGCCATGGGCGCTTGCTGGGCGACCTTAGGCCAATCACACTCACTTAGCCTCAATTACCTCACAGAGTTGTTGTGTAGATAAAGCGGAGTAGAAAAGAGTGATGTAAGCCGTTTTGGGTTCCCATTGGGGAGAAAGGTGGGGTATATATGAATAAAATATTCAACACAGTTGAAGTGTGAACCAAAAAAAGCTTGACTCACAGGACATTTGTATTGTTTTGATGTAGTGGGGTCCCTTTGGTTTTCCTTGGCTGCTGCTGCTTCCTGGAGCCATTTTATTCTTCTTCACCCTCACTGTCCTTAACATCATTGCCTTCACCAGCATGTAATCACTTGGTTTTTAATACATCCAGTGAATGAAACTGTTTGCTGATGTCAGTGATGCTGTCCCATTAGACAATGACATCACTGACACAATTACATAGACCACGTGAACTAGGGGCATCCTGGAAGGAAAAACAGCAGCACTGGAGAAAAGTCCCGCCCCATGGCCCCATCCCCCAAAGGAGGGAGGCAGTGGACTTGTCCAGACCTCTGGCCTGCCCCAGTCCTGCCCACCCAATAGAACGCAGGAAAGGCAAGGCATCCTGCCTGCCCAGGAGGTTGTGTGATGCTTCCCCCTGAATTCACAAGGCTTGGGCTGGCCGGCCAGTTGCAGCCTCCTCCTCATTGTGCAAGGCTCAGGTGGGTCAGGCACTGTCCTTCTGACACTCACCATGGAAGCTTGCTGGGCGACCTTAGGCCAGTCACATTGGCTTAGCCTCAATTACCTACCTTGTGTAGATAAAGCGGAGGAGAGGAGAGTGATGTAAGCCGTTTTGGGTTCCCATTGGGGAGAAAGGCGGGGTATAGATGGATAAAATATTCAACACAGTTGACGTATGAACCAAAAAAAGCTTGCCTCACAGGACATTTGCATTGTTTTGATGTAGTGGGGTCCCTTTTGTTTTCCTTGGCTGCTGCCGTTTCCTGGAGCCATTTTATTCTTCTTCACCCTCACTGTCCTTAACATCATTGCCTTCACCAGCATGTAATCACTTGGTTTTTAATACATCCAGTGAATGAAATTGTTCGCTGATGTCAGTGAGGCTGTCCCATTAGACAATGACATGACTGACACAATTACATAGACCACGTGAACTAGGGGCATCCTGGAAGGAAAAACAGCACTGGAGAAAAGTCCCGCCCCATGGCCCCATCCCCCAAAGGAGGGAGGCAGCGGACCTGTCCAGACCTCTGTCCTGCCCACCCAATAGAAGGCAGGAAAGGAAAGGCATCCTGCCTGCACAGGAGGTTGTGTGATGCTTCATTCACAAGGCTTGGGCTGGCCGGCCAGTTGGGGGGGGGGGCGTCAGCCCAATGAGAAAATTCCCTGTGGCCATAACAGCCAGTTCAACTCTGATGTGAAGGGAGACACATTCTGAATGGAAACCAACCACAAAATGAGGTGAAGAACAGTGCTATCCTAGAAGGCTTAGAAGGGCATACCTCTGTTTTGAATGGCACTGGAATTCATCAATCATAGTTTAATCCCATCCACCCTCCAAGGAGCTCAAAGCAGTAACCTCACAACAACCCTTTCAAGTAGGTTAAGCTGAGACAGAATGCCTGATCCAAGGTCACCCACTGAGCTTTATAACAGAGGAGGGATTTGAACTCAGGTCTCCTGGGCCCTAATCTGATATGCTCACCATTACACCTCATTGTCAACTGCTATACTACAACCACAGAGATCTGTCTTTTAACAAGCAGGGACCCGCCACAGACTTAAGAAAGAAAGCAACTAGTGATTGTGTGATAGAGATGAATGGATTTCCCTTGTTCCAGTCTTGTATTCAATCTCTCTCTCTCTCTCTAGTGTTTTATTCCCCCACAAATCTGATTTAACTAGGGAATGTCTAAAATGAATTCCAAAATTGTGTTACAGTTTGCCATAGACTTCAGTGGTTTAAACTAACTGCATCTTCCCCCCCATATTACTTACATTAATGTGTTTTGATAAAATACCACAATAAAGCAGACTTAATGTGATAAGATATATGACTGCATCAAAATACTAGCATATAGTATTTTACTGACGCGCTCATGAATTCTTATGCATAATACATTGGTAAAACATCATGCAAAAACAATGTTGATACATTGTATATACAATCACATTGATTTCCCTTTTGTAGTGTTCTGTCAATGTTCACATGTGACTCCGGGAAGATGTGAACAGGCTGGCACATCATCTTACCTGTTTAAGCACCAAGATTTTTCCATTCTGCCTTAACCCAAAAGCTCAGGTGAGGATCTCAGGAATGACTTATTTTATCAATGCAAGAGAGAGGGATCCCTATTAAGCATCTTTAGTAAATGGATGTCCTTTGAGGAGGACAGAAGTCCACAGCAATTAATTCTGGAATTCATCTTTCATAGTTAAGCACCCAGGTTCATTGGTACAGTAACTCCAGTGTAATACACACACTCAGCTGTCAATGTGATATTCAGATCTGTATATATGAAGTGTATACTGAAAAGTCATTACACATATTAATCAGTGCTTTTGCGTCGTAAACATCTTCTCGGAAGAAGCCCCTCACATCACTGCTGAAGTTCAAGCAGAATGTAGCAAATCTCTCGTCTCGCCCAGGGGAGCCAGATTCTAAGTCACTGGCATATATCCTTCCACTTTGCTCAGCAACATTTAAAGCCTTCCTGCATCCTGAAATACCCTCCTCCATTGGAAGAGCCACTTAAGTTAGAGGAAGAACCCTTAAGCTGCAGGAAAACCATCAGACTTTGTTGAGGGGGTGGAAGGATACGTGTCCATATTCAGCACATAGGAATGATGAATACACTTCTCCTTGTGATATTAGCATGTCATAATTTCAGGGTGGAAAGCTGGCCTAAAGGAAGAGTTACAGTAGGGAGACAGCAGTAGTAGTACTGAATTATTTCCTAATTAGTAAGGATGATTTTAAATTTCTCATCCCTGCTGTTTCAGTCCCAAAATCCCCATTTCAATTTTGCTTCTCCTTTATCCAAATTGAACCCATGAGTCTTTATTTGCAGACCATTTTTCTCATACTGAAATCTTTCCTGAAAAAAAATATGCATTTTCAGTGCTCTTCATATGTACATTGATCCACCTTATACATTATGAGTATATTATAGATATAAGTCTCATGCACTTAGTACACAGGCAATAGATAAGATTGGTGTACAGTGTGGTTTTATACACAATTTGCCTGTGTACTAATAGAAAAGAGCAAGAGTCCAGTAGCACCGTAAAGACTGACAAAATTTGTGGCAGGGTATGAGCTTTCGTTTCTTCAGATATCTAAAATTTGTTAGTCTTTAAGGTGCTACTGGACTCTTGCTCTTTTCTATTAGTACACAGGCAAATTGTGTATAAAATCACACTGTACAAATTAATCTGTTAAACCAACCATGGAAAGCAGAGAACTGAAACAAAATGAATATTAAAAAGACACAAAATAGTGACTCATTAAGACTGGGAACTTGATTGGCCCTGCCCAGAGCCATTCACCTTTGTTCATGTGACCATAGTTTGCAAGGAAAAACAAATCCCTTCCCTTTTCCATCCAATTCATTCTTGTGTTTGCACCCTTCAGCTGTCAACATACGTTCCCCAGGAACTCTGCCAGAGGCCTCAGGTGGCATTTCTCCCTGTGCCCATAATGATTGGCCGGACAAAAAACTGAAGCTCTCTTTACAACGATGGAGATGGATGTTCCAAAAATAACAAAACACTGAGCTATTTAAATGAACAACTTTCTCCTTCTCTCTCTTGAATTATGCATTTGTTTCACTGCACACACATGACATCATATGCCAAAATAAAATAAACATGCTCATGGTTTGAATTTATGCTAACTAACCAACATTTTTGGAGATACTGCAGCCTAAGAAATGGGTTTTCCCCAACATCCTGTGTAGTGTGAAGCATGGTTGCCTGTAATGCCACACTTTGCTCTTCTAAACCCTAAATGTAACTCTAAGATAGGAGTCCCCAATATTGGTGAACCTGTGGAAACTTTCAGAATTTTTAAAACAGGC